TATATATATATATGATATATGCTGGGGATTTAGCTTATATATTTCTCTTAATTATTTCACAAGGTACAACTAAGTTAGAATTGCAATCCTGAGATAATAGGCAGTTTTTCATGGTAGACGTGCATCTCAGTTCCCCAAGTGAGCACTGCCAAATGTGTTCATTTATTTTCCTTAAGTACTCAGCTAACAGGGAATTCAGTGACATTCGCTCCTGTGGCTCCTTTCCCAAAGCCTTGCCAAGGTAACAAGCTAAGTGATTTGATGCCTTTACCTCTAACATTTTAGGGCCATTCTTAGTGAACAGGAAATCACCGCTCAGTATTGGAAACAAAGTTTGCCCTTCTCTGGTTTTGTCAGCAACCTGGGAAATGCCTGCAAAAGATGTGAACCCAAGGAGATTTTCAAAGCCCCAAACCTTATTTTCTATGTAACTCAAAATATTTCTCCCCCTTTTTCCTAGTTGAATTTTTCTCTTCTCACCCTTCAGGAAACATGGGACAATCTCATTAAGGGCCTGAACTTTGGAAATAAAGCTAAAGGGAAGGCAATTCTTCTTGATAGGCTTTAATAAACTACCTTGAAGGAAGGGAGCTTAGAGTTCAATGTTTGCCTGAGAATATTTACTGGAACAAAATAGATAAAACAATATCTCAAAAATTCTTCTGAGATATGGTTTGAACCAACTGGTAGCTTATTATGATAAGCTGGAGGTTATGAGAAGCATATTACATATCTCGCCTCATTCACTCCTCTCAAAAATCCTTCTGAGGCTAGGCCCATACTCCGCCCATGCTGCGGGTGAGGAAAATGAGGTGCACTGTATTTACGTCACTTTTCCAACACAGGCAGTAAGTGGCAGAACTGGGATTTGCCATGAGGCTGGTTTTGGGTCCACTGCTTCATAGCTGTGTCCCTCCTTCTGTCCCACTTAGCTGCACTGTCAAGGTCACTGCCATTTCTACCATGGGGGAGCTGCTGTGGCCTCCTCTTCGTGGTTCACTGCTTCTAACTACTGCCACGGAATCAGACCATTCCCCCAGCCAGCTCTTCTTGGCTTCCCTGAAGAGGCCGATTACATTGCCCTGCTCTATCTGTGTGTGGTTTACTTCTTCACGTTCCTTAAGTCAGGAAAACTATTTCTGATCGGGTCTCCCCATGTTGTGGCTGGTGCTTCTTGTATGAAGTGTGGGGGAGATGTCTCCTTATGGATACTAGACTTCCTAAACTTGTACATTACCGGGAGACCTAGATATCTGCATTTAGTGGGTTCGGTGAGACTGATTTCCTCACTTGTTATGATAAATCCAGGGAAAGGGCTCCATAAGCTCTACTGTGAGCATCACTGCTTTAGTCTCTTTATCTTTTCTCTACTTGATTCAAGTCAATGCTTGTTTGGATAAAAGAACAAAAATGATTTCAGAGCTGTTCAAATATGAAGGCAATTGTACTGAGGAGGGCAAAAAATATCACGGAAAAGAACATAGTCAGGGCACCGAGGAATTGGAAAATTGTCAAAGAGCTCTTTTATTATGCTCTCATTGAGGCTTCATCACCCACCATTTCCTTTATTCTTCAGGTGACAGAACATATCTGCTCTACCCAATCTCTACAGATTAGCTTTTTGCTGCTAGCTTGTGGCCTTATCAGAAGAAGGGTGAATGATTGTGCCACAAAATCTGACTGCATCATGCTTATTAATGATAATGACAATCTCCATATTGGTTACTTAAATGCCTCAAACGAGAATGTAACTGGCTCAGCTCATGGTCCAAGGACCAGCTGACTTTGATCAATTGGCTACTGTGGTACATGTGTTCATGGCTGTGTTGGCATAGGAGGGTGTGCAGCCGTGTGATGGGAACATGGCCATGTAAGCGTACCACTGAGTCAGGCATTATACCTGTGAGGGAAGTTTCCTAGGAAGACTGCTGTGACAGAGACGAAAACCCAACTACTACGACTCCTATAATATTGTTGGATAAATCATCTTAAAACTTTTTTTTAATCTTGTCACTTCTTAACTTCACTATTGCCTACAAAATATGGGTTCACTCCAAATGACTCTGCATAGGATTCTAAGCTATCTGGGACCTGACCATTCTGCCCCTTTCTTTAATCACCTGCTCTAATGGAACTTTATTCTACAGATGGCCTCTACTCTTTTAATCCCTAAAATAAACGATGCTCAATCTGGAATATTTTCACTCCCTCCAAGCTCACCTTCTTTTCCTTTAGAGTCCTTGTTAAACCTTGCCACCCCCATGATGCCTATCAAGATGGTTCATACTTCTTATCCACTCAAGTATTTCCTGCCTGAATGACCTGTTCTGACCTTCAATATATTTGGTGTTATGTTATCCCCTTTTAGATATTTCATCTTATTTCACTGAACAAAAAAAGCCTTTAGAAGCAAGAATTAATTTATAGGTACCTGAGCTCTCTACAGCCTAGAAGAAAATCTCACAATATAACATGATCACCAAGAAAATAAGCCAAAGAACTTGAGAAAAGTGATTTCCCATTGATGAGATCAAATGTTGAATTTAATAATGAAGTTTGAGTTTACTCTTATTTTAAGTCAACCTGTCGGTAACAGTTAACTTTGACTGCAAATTGGATTGGATTAAGAGGTATCCAAGAGATTGATAAATCACGCTTCTAGATGTGTCTGAGTGTTTCCAGAGATGATGGGCATGTAGGACTGCAGCAAACTGAGGTAGGTGACCTGTCCTGAATGTAAACAGCATGATCCAATTAGAGCAAAAGCAGAAGGAGAAAATCAACTAGCACTGCCCCCCCATCCCAACTGCCCAAGAGCAATGGATCCAGTTGGCATAGACTGAAACCTCTGAAAACATGAGCCACAATAAATCCTTTGCTCCCTGAAGTAACTAACACACCATGTAACAGATTTGACCTCCATAAGTGATGATTTCCTTTCATATTACTTATCAGTTCCATTTATATTCACACAAAAGTTATTTTAATTCAACTGGCTAAGGTAAACTCAGTATCTACTGATCATCAGAGAAAACAATGTTCTGGCAAGAAAATTTCAACTAAAGACAACACACCTAAGATTATCACTGTTATGAAGAATTTTAAATGAATGAAGAGAAGCCAGTATGGCAACATACAAACATAAATTAATTTTAAAATACATTACCTCATAGCCAAGTAAATGTCCATTACTCAACTTCCATGGAATGGAGTTCCATTCAACTTCAATTTCTGAGGAAGACATGCTACGGGCAGACACCTGAGATGGGGCTACTGTGGGCTCTGTTTAGGAACAGACGTTGAAATATAATAATAATTTTGGCAGTTAAATAAAAATACCTCTTTTGAACATATTTTTATAAAAACATTCAGCATATGTGAAAGTTTTATATGTGTTCTGTAAAAATATTTGAGAACATGCCCAGCACTAGAAAATACAGAAACTCTACAGTAGGAAGGGCTGGCATCGTGGTCAGAATTTTCTTTGCTTCATGGCCATACTAACCTGGACTTTCCTCCTTCTCACCCGTTTCCTTGGTATCTTCCTTCTCTTCCCTTCTTTTTGTTCTCTGCACCCTGCCTCTGCTCCCTTCCCCAGAATCTCAGGCCAGCTGCCTGAGAACACCTATTTCTACAAATACTACTTATTTTTGTGTTGCCAAATTAAGGTCAAGGTCAAGCACAGTTCATCTGCTCAGTCAGCATGGGTTGCCCTCTCCAGCTTAAGCCCACAGATGGGATAAATTTAAATCAGATAGATGGCAGACTCTTCAAGGAAACAGGCACAAACACGTTACACACACGTTGCACACAGGAAGACATTCCCTCTCTAATAAATACGTTTGGGTTTTGGGGGATCCACAGTGATTCTCCATTCTCAGGACTCATTTATGAGCAGGAATTCCTGATTCCTCAATATCCATTTCTTTGTTGAGTGATCCCTCTCTCTGGATATGGTTGGCTGATGCTAAGAAAGAGAGAGTCTTGGTTTAAGAATGGGCCTGTTTAATTTTCTCTCCTGAGAATGTGAACCTTAGTTTGAAGAGATGAGGAGTGCTTGGGGCCAATCAATCTGGCACTGGCACACCAGAGGAGCAGATCATTTCCTGAGCCCCAGGGCTTCTCTGATTAAAGTTCTTCATGAGGTTGGCTTTCTAACTCTTTGCCTGATTCCCAGAGGACACCCCAGCAGATTTCCAATAAGTCCCTCACTTTTCTCTTAGGCAAGCTGAATTTATTTCTGATGTTTGCAAAAAAAGCCCTTTAACAATTCATCAGTGGGGGTAAGAACGGTGACAGCAGAAGGGAACTGAGGGAAGCAAGAACAGGTAAAAGGCTGTGGTTGTCCCTCCCTTGTCCTGTAGGCATCAGGGGCTAATATATAGTCCAGGCAGTATCCAAAAACTCCCTGGTTAGTCACCATCATTGCCTAGACCCTTAATCTAACTTTGTAATTTCTAGTAGCTTTGGAAATGGAGTCTGGCATGTAATACACTTTCTTTTGCAAAGATGTTTATACTACTTGAACTCAATAGAAAATGAAAAAGAAAAACAGTGGGAGTCCTAAGAGAAACGGAGTGTACTTATTATTTTAGGAGTAAAAATTGTGGACTGCTTTTGCAACTTACTGCAAGGTCTGGAATGAAGGGAGGACACTGTGGCTCATGTTTCTTTCGTACATGGTGGTGAAGGCAAAAGACCTTGGGTTAAACTATTGGCTTCATCAGTTATTAAATGGATTTTGGCAAATTCAGCCATCTCTTTCACTGGGGTTACATTTTCTCATTGTAAAGCGGGAATAGTAATAATGCATATACTTCATCCTTTATTTGGAAATTCAAAGTAGGTCATGCCTGGCAGGTGGTAAGTTTTCACTACATGTTATATCTTGCCTTTTTCGGTGGGTAGAAGTACATGATTCAACCAATATTTTATTGTAGATCAATAAAATTTTGCATAATCTCTCTAACTTTTTATTATTTTCTACAGTGTTTTTGAGAGAAAATTTAGACGTTTCAATATCTGGAGCAGTTTAAAAGAAAGGCAATAAAATAGAATGTGTTCAGATGAAATATACATTTATCTATACCTGCTGGAGTGCATGTCCTTTACAGTGACACATTCTGCATTCTTGAATGCCATACCTTTGTTCCTCACTATACAGGGAATGGACTTTTCTTGGGCTTTAGGAAGCACTCTAAGTTTTGGAAGCTTCAAGGGACTATTTGATTATTACATGAAGAAGAAAGATGAGCTGTGGACCATAGTATTTCCTACAACACAAACTGGAATTCAGGATATGTTCCCCGTGAACTCAGTTTTAATGAACAGCTCCAAGTGCTAAGGATCCAATGAGTCTTACACTTCAAGTCAGTTGTGGTCAATCTTTATGACCCGAATTGAGAATCTAACTATAGTTTTGATTACTGTTCTTTTAAAAATATATATCTGAAGTCACAAAGAACTTCTAAGTCAGTTGTTGAGCACAACTGTTTTATTAGGTTTAGACTGATGTTTTCCATACCTTCTTCTGCAGAGAACACTGTTGTCACTGGGCTAAATGGTCCTTCACCTTTGTTATTATAAACACCCACTTTAACTTCATATGGTGAAAATGGTATGATGCTCTCATTCCTAAAGACATATCTTGGGGTATCAGGAGATGTCACCACTGTCTGGATCCAGGTGGTAACTCCAAGAGGGCGGAAGGCAACAACATACCCAAAGCCTTCACCATTCTGCAATTCTTCAGGGACTGGCTACAAAGGAAGGACATACAAAAATCACCCTTACACATTTTTAGATTTTTGTAAAGGTCATCAAATAATAATCCAGACTGGATTAAGGAGTTGAATTTAAAAAGGACAAAAACACGAATGGGAAAATCAAGTCAGCTGTTTTTAAACATATACCACTCATTCATAAATATCTAGATAATTAACGAGAATTTTCTGAAATTATTCAAGTTTCCAAACATCTTTTGGCCAAGGTCTGAGATTTTGCAAAGGTATTCTTTCAATCAAAAGTACCTGATATCTTAAATCAAATAAAGATAAGCTACTTCCTAATACTCATTTTATGGAAAGAAATTACATCTTGATAAAATGCTTAACTATAAAGGATTTTTTTCTTTTAAAAGTACAACTTACTAAATCCAAAGATGTATCTGGGTCATTTCAAAAATTCTACTCCTTTTCCATCATGAGATTATGTGTTTTTATTTTTAACAACATCTTCAAACACAGAAAATTTTAGTACTGATACCTCATGACTTTAAACACATTAATCACATTTTCCCCCATTATGATACAAATCAAAGAATGAGAGAATGGTGAAGAAAGAGAAAGAGACTCAGATACATGATGGAATGTGTGACATCAACCATAGGAAATGAAGGGTGACACAGAAAGTGTTCAGGGAATGGCGAGAGTCAACAGCTGGAATCTGAGTCTGATCCCTGTGTTAAAGTGCCAGGTGCCCTTAAAGAAACTGTTTATTGCCTCTGTGCCTTAGTGTTTACAGCTATAAAATGTTGCAAGAATGGAATGAGAAAAACACGTGCAAAATGTTGGAAATAGTGTGTAGCACAGAGTGAACATTCAAAAATCTTAACCACCACTACTTTAACACCACCAGCATTTGAAACGCAAGAACATCATCACTATGACACAGCATCATGAACACCTCTACCACTGTCACAAATGCCACTGATGTCAGCACTGAAACCACTAGAATCGGAGCCACACCAGCACCAGCATTATCACCAGTAGTGGAACCTCTAGCACCACCACCTACACCAGTGACTGTATTACCAATACCCAGAGCATGAGCATCACATAAATGACCACCAGTACCATGGGCAGCACTAGAACCATTAGAACCAGCACCAGCACCACTACCATCAGCACTATCAGGGCCATCACTAACATCTGCGCCACCAGCAAGACCACCAGCACCTTAGCAAACACTGTCATCACCAGCCAGCATCAATACTGCCACCGCCTGCACCACCAGGACAACCAGAGTCAGGACCACTACTAGCACCAACACCATCAAAACCAGCTCCACCTCCCTCAGCACCAGCACCCCTGCTAACATCACCAACAGCACCACTGATGTTAACATCAGCTCCAGCACTACCACTATCAGCACCACCTGCACCAGCATCTTCATCCACACTAGTACCAGAACCCTCACCATCAGCATCAACACTGTGAGCCCAGTCATCACCACCACCAGCTCCAGAGCCAGCACTGGTGGTACCAACATCCCCACTGCAAATACTAGGACGAGTGCCAACACCACAAGCACTCTCCATCAGCGCCCCTGGTCCCAGTACCAACACCATCAGCGTTACTACCAGAACTGCCAGTGCCAGAATCCCCACCAAGAGCACCAATGCCAACACTGCTAACCCCACTGCCACACAGGAGGCTATGACTGTGAGAACAGCAACATCCCGATGAAGAAGATGCTGCCCAAATACTTACATCCCAGGTTATCACCAGTTCAGACCGGCTTCCACCTCCTCCACTGACTTCAGAAGGAGGCACCTCTGGAACTGTGTGGGGCAGAGAGACAGAGATGATACCCTATTTGCATACAGTAATATTTACCTAAAAGAAGACTCAAGGTTACTTATTTTTAGTATATGAAATAATTTAATTATTGACATATAATACATATGCATTTATATGAATATATACACATATATGTATATACATACACACATATATTTTAAATGGTGAGATCAGCAAAATTGTTTATTTATCTATGCATCGTGCCAGGAATGGAATCCAGGCTTGGGACATGCTAAGCTAATGACCTAGCACTGAGCTACATTGTTAGCCTTCAAAATTATTGATATTTGCATGAAATTATAAAAGATTCTGGTGAGACTATCAAATAATTTTTATTTGCATGAAATTATGAAATATTCAAAACCTCTCAGAGAGCAATAACAATACCTAATTGAAAAAGACTTTGCAACTAGTGTGAAGGTTAATAACATAGGGAAACGTGGTTCACCAGGAATGACAGGAAACCGATCCAGTGTAGTCATCTAACTTGTCACTACTCCAAGATAGAAGTCTCAGAACAACATTGGCTTTATATAAGAATGACAAAGATTAAAATCTTCAAGTTGTGTCAGGAGATTTTCTTTATAAACTTCATGCAGATATCAGATTCCCCACTAAAAGGAAGATTTCTATATTTTGTAAACCCTATGACATAATTACGATGTAATGTCTGTGAAGGTGGATCTCTGTCATATAGCAGTACCTGAAATATCTACAAGTGCTGAGCATGTAGCAAACATTCCCCAAATACATGTTATATGAACATAGGGACACTAAGGTGGGCACAGTGCACCTATTTCCCATAATACCTTGGTCTCCTGAGTAAAACAGCATCATTAAAATTATGAAAAATATATTCCATAAGTCTTACCACGGCCCAATTCCTAACATGATATGCTAATTCTATTCCAAATACCATTTTAGATAACACTGATTAATATTATAGATTCTGCAAAGGAAAGTATTTAGGTCTCCTTAGCTGTCTCTATAATGTGATACTATGCATACTTTTCTAATTCTGAGTTTTAATGCTAAGGTATTTTTAGAATTAAAAGCAACTTTATGCTTTATATTACTAGATGATTCATAAGATAATTCAAAACACAATTTGTTCTTAATTTAACACTTGAGAGGCCAAAATGCACTATTCATCAATTGCTGAAGCTCATTTTTGCTGGGCTTTGGTGGGAGAGACTTCCTAGCCGTGAAACTCTCAAACGTCATTATCTTACCACTTTGTCAATTCTTGTTATATATGAAAACAGCACTCCCCTGCTAACAGTATATCTATGTCAGAGAGTAATTGTAAGCTTCAGTGACAAAAATATATTCACTCAACGTGCACTAATGATCATTTACAAAGGAATGAGCTCTTGGAAATGTCACACTACATCAGCATCACTTACATGTGTTTCTTTTGACAAATGCCATATGGCAAATTCTGCCATTACTAAGGTCAAATAATTGTGACAATGGATTATTGAGACAAATTCCCTGTTAGCCAGGACACTAGGAACAGGGGGAATTGAAATACACACCCAAAGAAATATATTAACCCATTACTCAGAAAGCAAAAACACTAACCTGCCTCTTCAGTTCTTACTTTTTCTGAGGGTAAACTGGGTTCTCCACCTCCGATCTTGTTACTGGCTACAACTCGAAATTCATATTCCACCCATGGATTTAACTCCACTACAGTAGCAGTGTGTGTTTTCCCATCAATGACCTCAGGCACTACAAAGGAACAGATTAGGGAGGTAAGAGTCTTCATGCCCTAGCACTGATCTAAAACCCATCTCTATGAGGCCCTGGCATTTGCCCTTCCCACTTTACCTGTTGTGACAGTTTGCCAGCCCACAGAGAAAGGTGTTCTAGCCTGGATAGCATATGATGTAACTGGGCTGTGATTGTCTATTCCTTCTTTCCAAGACAGTTGGGCTGTTGTATCTGTAATTTCATCAACCTTCACATTTTCTGGTGGTCCAGGTGAACCTAAGGAAGGCAAGAATGCAAACAGTGGAGAACAATTCCACAAATGTCATTTTCTTCCATCACAGTGAAGATATGCCCTGTGACCACTTTAATACCTCCAACCTTTTCCATTGTTAGGTCAAACCTGGATGTAAGGCAGCAATTCCAAAATCCTAAGACTACATACTTGCAAGTGACACCTTTTGCGGCCTGTATTCAGCAGGGTTTCTGTACCTTTCTGAATTCAGTGTCCTTTATTTTGGTAAGATGCTTTTTCCTAAATCCACTGCTGTGGCTACGCAGCTCACACTACTATTGTCTGAAGTGTTTTATCTCTGATGCACTCTAGTCATTTTTCAAACCAGTGGCAAATCAGCACCACGGACAGCACCCGGGTTGGCAAACTGTCTCCGGAATTCCGAATAATTCTGATTCTTTTGGAAGCAGACATACACACACTATTCTCTCTCATAGAAAATGTAAGTACTGAATTAATGGCACGCTCAAAGCACAGCTTGGCGGTAGGCGAGGAATGGCAATTAGATTGGGAACTATTTGAAAGGCAGAGCTGAGCTTTTTATTTCTTTCAATTAACACTCATCCTTAATGCCATACTCTCTCTTTGGGGAATCAAATCAATATTATAACTTTCATGCTCATTTGTTATCTCATTCTATTTCTTCCTTCAGTAAGGAATGCCTGGCTAACAAGTGAAGTTAAAAAAAGAGAGAGATTAACATTTACCTCTTACTATAAGTTCAGCAGCAGATGAAACACTGTCTACCCCGGTTTGAACCATACAGACATACTTTCCACTGTGTTTCAGCTGAATGTTTCTGATCATTAAATCACCAGATGAACTCTGTTGGGAAATAGGTAATAAACACATCATTATTTTTGAAACAGAAAGAATCTTAAAAGCTAAGGGCCAAAACAACATCGTGACGAAATCCGTATTTAGAGAGAAAACAAAGGTGGTACTAGAGAGAAGATTGTTATAGTAAGAATTAGTGCCATATGGAACTAAAATAAGTTTAAAACTATACATGACTGTGGACAAGTATTTCTATAGACAAATAAATGATGAGATTTCCCCTGGGCATTTATGCTTTAAGAAATAATTGAAGGGAGAGATTATACTCTCAAGGTCTGTTTATATGCTACCAGGGTGGCATTTCTTTTCACAGCCACTGCTCAGCACCAGCTGAACTCATATGTCTGGTCCCAAGCCCACTGCAATTATCTACCTGAGAAGAAGAGGGAAGCATTTAAGCATCTAGTGGAAGGTACATGCAGCACAACAAGCAGACCAACATGGTTGATGCACTTCTCTAAATTCACCAGAGCTTAGAGAGACTGACATCATTTAATTCCTGAGGTGTAGAATTTAGGCAGAGTTAGTATAAATTTTTTATAAGAAAACACTAAAACATTTTAAACCTGAAAATAGGTTATCCATAAAGATATGCTGGTATTCTCTAGCACCAATTAATGAAATAAATATGTTTCTAACAGCTCAACTTGAAATTGTGCTCATTTAAAGAGAATACAAAATCATGTTTATAAAATGACTAACTGCAGGTCAGTTTCACATATTAGTGAAAACATAGATGGAAAGAAAATAACTTAGAAAGAAAGTTCCTTTAACAATTATCACCAGGCTATGACTGACCTGGTACAGAGAGTAAGTCATATTCATCTTATTAATTAAAGACAGTTTTCCTATAATTGATTAAAAGATGAATTCTAATGTCATATTTTCAGGTAATTTTCTAAAATCTTCTACAGAGTAATTTCTTAAATATTGCTCTCCATTCTTAGAGATTCTTAATGACCTACATATTCTCTGTTGGCTGGATCATATGGTTTTAGATGGAATTTCTTGAGCACAGGGAGAAAGCAGATGTGAGGTGATTGATGGCTGTAATTAAATGATAATCCAGAAACTGTTACATTTGCACATTTTACTTTCATGAAGTTGAACTTTTTCTTTCTCTCCCTCTCTCTTTTTTTTTCCTTGGGGTTATTTAGAAATTTATCCCCAGGATAGAACCTTCAGTGCCTGCTGACCTTTACAAACTCTTCAGGTTTTATGAGTTCTATATACTCACAGGAGGGTGATTATCATTTCCATTGAAAACTCTTACTTTCAGTGAAGAACTGTTACTATTAAATGTGATCAAGGCATTGGGGTGAGGTTGTTATTCTTCCCTACTTTATTTGCTTATTATAAAAGCTACTTGGTAAAAGAGAATTCGAACCAGAATTTTTATGTCCTTAGCCACCTACATATAACTTTTAGGCACACAGGATAGTTGTGTCTCTTGAAGGAGTAAATGTGAATTCAGTATTGAGACTGTGACTTCTGTTGACTTTTGGTACTGACCAGCAATGAAACAAACAATTCAGCTAGATCATAAAAAAAAGAAAACCAAAACTCTTCCTAAAGATATGTAGTCAGGCTGACTGTCAGAGGAAATACAACTTTAATTATCTTTTTGATGTATTGAGTTAGGAAACAAGGCAGTTAAGTAAGGCATATCTATACTGGGGACCACTGTTTTGTTTCAGCACAAATACAGAGCTGTGTGGATGAACAGGTTAAAAGGAAAATAAAATTTAGCAAATATTAAGAGGTCTCTTCTCATCAATGTTTGCCTATTTGTATAAAATACATGTGTACTGCTTCTTTTCTGAGGCTTTCCCTATCCCATTCTATCTACTGTCCTTTAATAAGTAAAAACAAGATTTACCAGAACAAAAGAGCATCCTATGTTTTTTTATGTTAGATTCAAGGACTAAGACTTGTCTAGCTTGTGATCCCTGCTTTCTAGGATGTAAACTCAAGCCAACATAACATGTTTTACACATGTGAAACGAGCTATGTTTACAAATTTAGAAAATTTATTAAAGGTTAAATAAAATCACATGTACCCTGTGAAGATCATTGCAAGACGAAAGGGACAGACACTCATTCTCAAGTCTTGCTGAAGATATGGAGGTGGAGCTCTTACTATTGCTGATAAATGTTAATTGGTGCAACTGCTCCTCAAATACACTTGGAAGAGTCAAATAAGGCAAAGTAGTTACATAACATATGATTCACAATTTCTACTCCTTAGCCTGTACTCTATAGAAATGCATATGTGTCTACAAGAGGACATGCATAGTGAAAAAACAGAAACACCCCAATGTCCACCATTGTGCAACATATAAAGCAGTGTAATATTTGTTTAATAAAATACTATTAAGCCATGAAAATGAATAAACTGTATACACAGATCAACATGGTTGAGTTTTGAGTCTGAAAAATATAACTGTATACACAGATCAACATGGTTGAGTTTTGAGTCTGAAATATATAACAATATAAATCAGATAAAAAAGAAAATATGGCACAAATTTTATCCGAGAGTTGTAACTGAAGTTACCTTTGAAGGAACAGTTATTGCTGGAATCAGTACCATGGGCAAATCTTGGCTGAGGGTCACATTTTGTTTCTTGACTTTAGTGTTGATTACATGAATGCTCATTTTGTGAAAATTCATTGAGCTATCTACGTATAATTTATGTATTTTTGGTACACCGTAATGGCTAGCAAAAGGAAGTTATGATTATGTATAGCTATATTTCTAAATGCTCAGCTTATTTCTTCTATTTCTCAGCTTACGTCTCTATTTCTTATCTTTTAATTTGCTCTTTATTTACATGAATGTAATTCTTCACTTCAATTTCTTTCATAGGAAAACTTTATTTAAAAATTACAGTACTATAGTTCCTAGGGATACAATTTTGAGAGAGAAAAAACATCCTTATATTTATTGAGCTGACAGCTGAAAGACAGGCATTAATCAAGTAACTACACACATCAATGTAAAATTACTGTGTAATGAAAGCTTAAAGTACATGGAAGAATCTGTGATTTTCTGGGGTTTCAGCCAACTAAAATCCAAGCTAAGTAGAAGGTTTTTGGGGAAAGAGGGAGAGAAAAAGATGACCTACACCAGATGTGGGATGACCTAAGGGAGGTGAGAAGACAGCGTATTGGAAGAACTCAGGAAGGACAAGAGGAGCTGAGTGGGGGTGGGCCTTACAGGAATGTCCGAGGTAGTTAACCCACCAGTTGTCTACCAGTTCTCACAAAGCTACATTCCATTTACATTTTTGTCATAATGATGTCAAATGTTTTCTCTTTGGGGAATGTTTACAATTTCTAAGCTGTGCTAGAATTGCTTTCTTTTCTTTTCTCTCTTTCCCCCACCCTTTTTTCCCCAATATTAGAGACTGAATGCAGAGCATTTATACGGAGCTGCATTCCCAGTCCCTTTTTTTTTTATTTTTTATTTTGAGACAGGTTATCTCCATGTTACTAAATTGTCCAGAGTGGGGTCAAACTTGGGGTCCACCTGCCTCAGCCTTACTGCTGTGTAACACCTTGCCTGCTACTCCCTCCCTCTCTCTCACTCTGTCCTTCCTCTCCCTCTCTCTCTCTCTCTCTCATGGTCACTGAACCTTCTTATTTAATTATTAGTTCATCTAATCATATAGATTTCTCCTAGGAAAAAAATCATATTTCCATAACACATTACAGGTATAAATAGTAAACAGATTTATCTCTGAAATAAATATTAGGAAAAGTTTAGTGAGTATCAAGTTAAACAGAAGAGGATCTTATTCACCTTTGCCCTATATTTTCTTAGGTGATGACATTAATGAAATCTTCAATGTAATTTAAAAAACACCTTACATACTAAAAATAAATTAATATATTTACTAATTACATGATGCAATATTCCATGCAGGAGAATAAAAACAAGTAGACAGGTCATTACTAATTACAGGCAGGCTGAAAACACATTGTTATATTTTATCATATGCTAAAAATCAAGGTGTAAAATAAACTTCGGAATTAGGGGAACCTCTTGGACATAACCAATGTAGCATGAACTTTGAATATAACAAATTATCATCAAAACAGATTCCTTAGTAAGCACTCTATATGTCAGTGCTGCTGTGAGAATACCGAGAAACATAATTTTCTAGTTTAGGGAGAAAACATATTTTGACGGCTATTCGGAAGGCAAGGCTGAGGCACAGGTCCTCCTGCTTTGTATCACTTTGTACAGCTGGATCCTGCACAACTGCCTGTATCAATCATTCATCCCTTCACTGGCTTGTCTTTCAAACCCTGACACTGCATGTAAATCATATCCAGCTGCCTTCAAAGCAATCAAGACCTTCAGGTTCCTCCTGGAACCTGGTAGAAGCTTTCCTTTGTGAAGGTCCCTGAAGGAATTAGTAATGACACAACTCACCTCTGCATTTATGACCATGCAAATTAAATCTTGTCACCATCAACCCCAAATGGCTGAGTCAAGGTCACCTTTGTTATGAACATACTATGCTTACCCAAAGGATAGAAAGAACCATAGCCACTGGAATGGGAAAACAGGCCCAGACATTAACAGCTTTAATTTTGACTGATTAAGATTTTCCACTGTCACTTGGCTGTCTACCCTGGTGAAATTTAAGGCAGGTAAGATGCAGTCTGTTAATATTAACATTTTCTCAACTTTCTTTGGTACCAATAAACTGGAATAATTTTTCCATTACAGGATTCAGAGTCCCAGGATGGCCCTTGCTAAGAGTTTCAAATGAGTGACATATTAAAGATCAAACAAACTAGGTTGAAGACACTTCATGAATATTTTAGGTTGTGTCAAATGCCTGACTTGCCTCATAGGTGTTAACTTTCACATTTCAACATCAAGTTTATATTTAAAACTTGGGAATTTTTTTTTCTGTTTTGTGCAGTCTGATATGTTGATAGGGCAACTCACTGAGAACTGGTAATCTCAGTAT